TAGTATGTTTTTCCTAGAGTACTTATATTTGATATCTGCCATGAAGAGTTTTATGTTGATGAAAAGCTTGACATAGAGTATCCTCATAACAGTCTTGCTAGCCAAGCTTGTAGGGGTCTTTTTTTTTTTTTAATTAGTGTAATTAAGTGTGATCTCTGCATGGAATTTGTACTTGTATTGTTTTCTGTCTGCCAACTGAGCAAATACTAAATGAAATCTCTAGTGTAACTAAAGGCTTAGCCTCTCTCCAAATCTCCATTGTCCCTGCTGGGCAAATTTGTCATTTACTGAATCTCCCCATCAGTGAATAACTGTCAGAGAACTGTTCAGGAAAGGCTTAAGGAGACTTGTTTCCTCCCCTTTTCTCATGACAGTGCTTGCAAGTTGTAGGACTCTCACTGTGTGTGCTCCTCAGTACGGTTACTATGTGTACTTTTCCGCTGGTGTCGGCAGCCACAAGGAGCATGGTTACACAGTTAAGAGGGCTGCTTGTAAAAATTGTTTTTGTTCTTCTCCTGTATCTTTGTTCGAAAGGGTGATGCTTGATAATGTTGCCAGCGTGTTTTTATTTTTATCTAGACAGACTAGTCTTCCAGCAGATTTTATTTCCCTCCTACACTCATGCAAACTTTCACATGGTGCTTCAAGAAAGCAGCTGAGAAGCCAAGCAAAAAGCAGGGCTGAAGGTATAAAACTCCTCAATTAATTCAAACCTTTAAGTTGTGTTATAGTTTGCTATGTGCAGAACAAATATTTTTCTCTGAAGAAACTATTTTCACAGTCACAGTTTCTAGTGGGATCTGTGGTCAAGTAGTATTTCCTAAAAATTTTCTGGGGTGGACCTAATCAGTACTTGCTGTCATTACAGATACTGATAAAGAACAATTGTTCTATTCTAAGATGTAAACTGAGGAAATCAGTTCGCATCTAGTAGTTACCAAGTGTCAGTTTGAAAAGGTTGGTCACTGTTTGCTCTACAGTAGGACAGAAATTTTTCTGGACCTCTCTGCTTTTTGTCATAAGTGGTGCTGGCAATGGACAGGTCTCTGCTCAGGGAGTCCCTCTGCCTGCAAATTCTGAAATTTGCTGTCAGGAAATACCCACTAATGTTTACTTTAAAAACTCACTGAAAATACCATCAAAAAGAAAATATTTCTTGTAATATCTGAGGAAAGCTGATGCCTGAAGGGATACATTCTCATTTAAAGCAAATTAATTAAGGAATTTGAGCAAATATTAAGGATAATCTTTTTCCATGTACTTGACATTTCTGAAAGTAGTAACACTAAAACAAATTGTTTAATATTGACTTAATGTAGCAGTACAAGTACATTTGTTATATAAGCATGTAAATATAAATTATATAAATATGCAAGTGTATTTCTACAGATACATTCGCAATTTTGAGCTAAGATTCACATTTTTAATTTAGAGTCATGTTTCATCATCATCATGGCTGGGCTTCGTGAACGAAGATTTGGGAAGGGCGCTACCCACGTTTGTTACAAGCCTGTTGGTGGCTAAAAAGGCCAATACAAGATAGACACGTCCGGTTGCAAAAGGCACAGCAGAAGGACTCCTTGGGTGGTATATTCTGCAAGGCATGATGCTTCCTGCGTTGTCTTTTCTCCTCAAGAGTGATCCTGTGTGCTTTCTCAAAAGCATCAGCAGCGTTAAAGATGGTGTGTCTCCAGACCTCCCGATTGGAGGCCAGAGTAGACCAGTTATGGTGATCAATATGGGCAAGGCTGAGATGTTGTTTCAGGGAGTTCCTTGTATCTTCTCTTTGGGGCTCCTCTCTTGCGACAGCCGGTGGCAAGTTCACCATAAAGCAAGATCTTAGGGAAGCGGTGGTCCTTCATCCTTGAGACGTGTCCTGCCCATCGCAACTGTGTTCTCAGCAACATGGCCTCAATACTTGTGACTGCTGCTTGTTCTAGAACAGACGTATTGGTCACATAATCTGACCAGTGGATGTTTAGGATTGTACGGAGGCAGTGTTGATGGAAGCGTTCTAAGAGATGCAGGTGGTGGCGGTAGATGACCCATGATTCAGATTCATATAAGAGAGTAGACAGCACTATGGCTCTGTAAACACTGATCTTGGTACTTTTCTTCAAGTGTTTATTACGCCAAACTCTTTTATGAAGCTTTCCAAAAGCACCATATGCCTTTGCTAACCTGTTGTCTATCTCCCTGTCAATCTTACCATCTGAGGAGATGAGACTACCTAGTCATGTTTAATGGATTTTTAATAACCCAGGAGAATTACAATTTTTTCACGCCCCTTTTTTATACAGAGATAAAGAAAAAGAGTCTAACAGTATCTGCTGGTTTCTGTTGGTGATTTTTGTGCTTTGTTTTGAGATTTTTTTTTATTTAGCTGACAGCTACTTGAAAAATTAATTGGACCTTTTTAAAGGACAGACATCAGTGAGATCCCTGCAGGCCCATGTAATCAGACTGTATTAAATGGTCCTACCTAGGCTTACTGTCTGAATCTCTGTAAGGACTGTTTACTGAGCTTGAAATAATTTCTGAATTGGTGGAACATTACTCAATTTTCTACATTATTGCTGAATTAATTCCAAGTCAAAGTTGGTAAAATACAAATTGTTAAACCCTGAAAACACCTTAGGTAAAGCAGATTATCTTACACTTGCTTATCATGAAGAGTATACACAGCTTTGAGAGTGGGTTTTTTTCACTGCTGATGGACTTGGTTCAGCAACGCAGAGACAGATGTTTTCATGTTTTTTTACTATATCGAAGACATCATTTTCAGAAATGCAAGGCTTTCTCAGTATTTCAGCACAGGAATTTGTTCTACCAATTTCCTATGAAATTACTGTTAAAAGAAAACATGTCAGTGTCATGATGGCCCTTCAGTTTCCGCTCTTTGAGTATCAATGAGAATTTGTGTATGTAGATGCCATTGCTGTTTTTGTGTTAACACTTGTCAAAATTGTATTGTACCTATTGTGCTACCCTGAGATTATCTCATGTTACCTTTCACGCACATACAGCTCTTATTTGGTCAACAGACTTCACCACAGTTGCAATTTCCTTGGTATGTGTAATGAATAATGCAATGGAAGAATAATAGCACTGTGCTATATTTAGTTTTCATTAATGTACATGTTCCTTCTAATCCTTTTAAAAATATGTTCTTGCAGCCTATTTGTACTCTTGTCTGAGCATATTACAGTAGTTTTGATTTCAGTAGTACTTTGCGGCAAGAAATAAATTGAGCGCTAGGACATTTATAGACTATGAAAGCTTCTCTTTGGTTGTTCGTTCTGACTGACTTCTCTAAAGTGAAAGGAGGAAGGCTTATAGCTACCAAGGCTTATGTCTTGATGCTGGTTCCTTTAGTTAGCACTGATTTTTATAAATCTGGGTCTTTGAGATTTTCTTCAAAGTGTACATTTGAAGTACATCTCCCATTTGTTATGGAGATAGTCCATTTGTTATAGGAAACTGTAGGATCTCTTGTCCCTCACCTTTATTCTATACTCAGTTGTCTTTTAATATTTTGTAACTTGTTACACTTGTAATATTGCATTCATGTAGGGAGAAAGATGATTTCCACTCGTACTGGTGTTATGCACAGTGCAATGTTTGTGGACTCACTGCATCCATGAAACCCACTATGTTTGAACCATCCAAATATATTTAAAACGATTATGCAGACAGATAAACATTTTGAACATGGTAACTGGTATGAAAAGTGTTTCCACTCTCTCCCCATCCCGCCGGCAGAAGTGATGGACAGTGAAGCTGACATTGTCATCACTTGCTCAGAGTTAACATTGCACTGAGGCTGACTAACTTGCAGTGCAAAAACTTGCACATCTGAATCATCATTTGAGGCAGTCAGCAGAAGCAGGGAAAATGATGTTAATTAAATTTGATTGATACCTGGAAGCTTTAGATGAAGCCCTAAGGCCTAGAACTTGTTGATTTTTAGCTTATGTGGGGTTTAGGCTTATTTTATGACTTCTCATGCAGACATAAGAAATACATGAAACCATCTTGGTATTCTGCCCACCCTACTTAATATGAGAACTATGAAGAGAATCTTCAACCTGTGTGTTTTCTAAGATGGTCCTGCAGTACTTACTGTGTGACTGAGATTAGCAAGACTGTTTAATGTCTAAGTGCTCATATCCCTTCTTTTTGCCCAACTGTAGAGAGATACTTATGGTTGTCTAGTGTTTAGATTCCATGTGTCCATTCATTTTGATTTAATCACATGTAAAACTCAGAGGAAAATTTGCTAAAACTGTAATCCAATCTAGACCCCTGCACGTATATTGTAAATCTGGTAAGCACAGGGCCATTTTTGTCCTGTTGAAGGGCTGTTGATATTGCCATAGGCATGCGCTCCCCACTCCAATTATTTGGTCCCAGGTGTGTTGCACTGTCATTTGCACTCTTCTTACTTTGTAAATGAGTAAAAAAGTTTAGCAAGTTACAAGAAAGAGATTAAGAAACAGAATCAGTAGTGGTGTTATAATATTGATATATACCAAGGCTATTAAAGGAATATGTCACAAGTTCTTGAGCACCATCTTGCTGGTGGATATTAAGTTCATTGTATAGACTTAATTGCGTTTTCCAGTGTGGCTTATTTCATCATGTTATATGCAGGTTATTTCCCCTTCCCTCACTCTGCCCAATTTACTTTTATGTAACTGGACATTAGATGAAGAAATATATAAGCTTATTATCCTGTACTAAAAATATTTTCTTATGTAAATGAGTATTGCGTAATAGCGAGACCATTATTATGCTATTTCGGCCTTTATTGAACAAATCATTGAGAAATTTTAAAGTGTCATAAACACATAAACAGAAATTTCAGCTTCAGTAAACATTCCAAGACAAATAATTTATCCATAGGAGTGAGTTCTTCATATGCATTTATAGAGGTAAATAGTTTTTGAGAGCAAGTTGCCCGATGTGTTGTTGATTGTTTAATCTTTTTCTCTTTCCAGTTGTCCATATTTGTCAGAGAAGATTACGCCTGCTATACCTGCAATTGGTGGGATTCTTTTCTTTTTCGTGATGGGGACCCTGCTGCGTACTAGTTTCAGTGATCCTGGTGTCCTCCCCCGCGCAACACCAGATGAAGCAGCAGATCTAGAGAGACAAATAGGTAACACTGAAGGTCTGTTGTCTCTTCGCTTTCCTCCCGAGGGTGCATGTACTGTGTGAAGGCAGTGTGCTGCTCTGATCATGAGAGGAGTTACTCCTATCTTGCCACAGTGATTGTTCCGGAATTGTAATATCTAATAGCATTGCAGTGATTCCTGTGAAAAGATCAATTCTTCACCAAAAAAGTAAACACGATCCTGGCCTTGGACTGCGATAGTTATTACTGTAAATACTTTTCAGCAAATCTGGTAAAAGTCTCTCTGTGGTGCACAAGAGAATACTTTTTAAATTGTTTTTGGTAAAAAACCTGATATTTCAAAGGTTCTACAATTGTGCATCTTTTAAAGTAGTGTATCCTCAGAGTTTAACTGAATTTAATTGTTATTATTTATACTGTGAAACTGTATTAATATACAGTAAAAATGTTACTGTTTTTTATTTGTGTAAAGCCAGCATAATTAAAGTAGAGACCTAGATTTTAATCAGCCTCACTTATCAAGAGAATTGTTATCGAAATTCTAAAAATTATAGGAATATGCCTTGTTTATGGTTCTTGGGAAGGAAAAAAAAAGAGAGAGAGAAAGAAAAATAGGCAGGCCATGTAGCTATTACTCTAAGTAACCCATTGTCATCTGAGTCATTCCCACTGAAATGACCAGGAATACTTGCACAACTGATGGGCTGTGTCTACTGGCCAGTCTGGTTATGATCCAGGTTTGAAAGTAAATTTTCCAATCATCTCCACCAACTGCACACTCATTCTGCCCGCAGAGCATGCAAGAAACAGATTCTTTCCAAAATGAAATAAAGACAGACATACACTCCAAGGGTGCACCAAATTTACTCCATTATTTGAGTCCTCTGGACAACTGTAAAATATATGCACAATGGGGATGTTTTGTTCAAGCAGCTAGACTAAATGCACTCCAAAGTAAGTCCCCTAAACTGCATATAAAGACAGAGGTAGGGGCATCAGCACCAGTTGCATTTAGGTCAGCCTGCTGATCTACCCTCGCTGAGCTGAACTACTCACTAAAATAGAAAAATGAATAGAAACTAAATAGTGGAACCTAACGATTAGTTGAAAAAAAATTAAATTATTATTAGGAAGAAAAGATGTGCAAAAAAATAGCATAAAAAATACACATGGATACTGGATTCATTACTATGTGTTTACAGTTATGCATATTAGCAAAGTATTTAGGCTCTAGTGAATTAGAACACATCAGTGTCCAGAAGTTCTATAGTAACTCAGAAATACCTGCAAACTAGGAAGATGAAAACACACAAAATCAATAAACTGTATAGTATTGAAGAAAATGCAAATGAAGGATGAAATTCAATTGTCTATGTAATGAATGTCTTTATTAATTTAGCCAAAAGTCATATGTATAGATTATGTCAGGACTATTTTCTAAATAGAATATTATTTAATATACATTTAATGAAATGAGGGGAGAGTGAAGAAAGGAGGAAGAGTGGAAATTATGTGGGTAGCTGCTGTTGCACTGGTGAATCCAGAGCTTCTAGAAAGTCCTTGATAAATCCAAGATTCATAAACTGTGATTTTACATAATCTCTGTTTTTGTATTTTAAATATCTCAAACTGTCTGTACGTTAAATTCTAAAAGTGAGATTTCTACAGCTACAAACATGCTGAATAGCTAAAATGTGCTACCTGGATAAGAAACCAGGACGAGTTTGCAGAGTTGCTTCATAAGCAGTGGATTTGTGTGCTTATTTTTTAGTAATCTAGTAAAGCTTACCAAGGGCTACTGTATCTGCTTTGATATGACAGCCAACGGAAATCTGATTTTTCTGAAGCAGTTTCAGAGGAATGCACACTCATATAATTGAAATGACAGGTAACAGGTTTATGCAAGCACGGGAGAAATACCTGAGGCATCCTTGACATTTAATGCTATAATACAGTCTTGGGCTTTTTACAATAGAAGTATTTAAATGTTTGCTATCCATCTGAATTTCAGAAGTGGTTGAATCACCTTGCTTAAGCATCTGAAAATCTCAGAAAAAAAGGTATACAGCTTAGGCCACAAAATTTCACCAAGATTTTTTTTTTACGCATATGGAAAAATATAATGAAGCATTTATTTAGCACCTTTTCCTAATCAGTGTTATAGTCTACTTTCATTGATCTCTTTCAAGGAATTCTTTACCTAGAATAAGGTACTGGCTTTAGTCCAAAATACAGGCATAAGTTCCAGTTTAAGGAATTGCTTATTTACCTTGAGTGCAAAGAAACATTGATCTATGTCAGGAAAAAAATTATTTTAAATAAGCAGTTAACAATAATTTTTTGTTAGCATCTGTCAGAGTTTCAGCTAAATAAAAAACTAACAATACAAATTGGAAACTAGAAAAAATTCTGTATCAAAAAGTTGATTAGGAGAGTCAAAATGTTTCCATGTGTGACTATTTCAGAACTTCTGTTTACAAATTATAATTTATTTAAATGATATTGCATACTTGCTTCACAGATTCAGGCTGCTGAGCTGATCAAAGCCACTGTCTTTTCTTCAGCAGTAGCAAAGGCAGTAGCCTTCCAAGAAAGGCCAGTGGAGTATCAAGGAATTACATTGCCAGCAAATGTGGAATTCCCAAGCATGAGGGCTTATGGCAAGTCTAATAGAGGAACAAGCTAGGTAGCTATAAGAAATCCTTCTGCCCTAAAACTGTGACTCTGGATTCATCAATAGAAATGGAAAGAAGGATTTCTGTACTCTTAAAATATATTTTTTTTTAATGTACCCTTAAAAGGTGTATCCTAGTGGAGTGGTATTTGAGCAGCAGGAAAAGCTGAATGGCTCCCACGGTTGAAAGGAAAACTAGATGCTCCAAAACTATCATTCTGGTTAGATTGCCTTGTAACTTGCTGTACTTTTGAACTTCCAGTGCCTTCTAAAGATGTGGTGTGAGGTTAACAGTAATATATTTCTAGGCAAGAAATTCTTCAGATAACTCACCTAAAAAATAGTGCCTCTACCGAATTGGTTTTTTTCTAAAATCTGTGTATGTTGCATATGCTATCTGTGGCTTTCACTTCCCTCAAGTCATTCTTAGATACTTGAGTCTTACACTGCCCTACCTGTCTCTTTGGGAAGCAACCTCCCAAAAATTATTACAAATGCAGTGAGAAACAGTTGTGTCCTGAGAAGAGGAATTCTGATTTAAGAATGTTATTTAGAAGTTTTTTTAAAACTTTTTAAACTAAGACATAGAATAGAATGAGCTGATTAAGGAGAACGGTTCTCAAAATAAGGCTCTCTAAAGAAACTGCCGGTACTTCATTCTTTCAGGTGACTTTTTGGAAACAGGGTCATCATACTGACAATGAGAAATGTTTCCATTGTCACCCTTGTTTGGGTGAAGATGGGGGACTAACAGAGCTGTGATGCTACTGTTTCCACCCCCCGGGTACAAGAATGCAAAGCAGTTGTTCTTGCAATTTTGCAGTGTTCATAGGAAAACAGAAAGTGAAAGAAACAGAAAAAATTGTCCAAAAAGCAAAAGGGACTTCTGTTATTGAAAAATATTACATTAAATGCACATCATCAAGCTATCCTCATCCAGAGGAAGGTTGGAAAGTATACTAAGAGGCCATTCTGACTGTATTTGATTGCAGTCAGAAAGGTACTTGCATCATAAGTTTCTAAAGGTGAGTAAAAAGACATGGCACAAGCATATTGGGAAAGTGTGGGAAAGGCAAAAGTAGAGTGAAGTCAGTTACAGCCATCAAGGAACAGTAGAAGGAAACAGTACAGGTTCTGTTAGAGGTTAGAGGAAGAAAGAGAAGCTGAAGGTGTGCTGTGTTGTTGGAAAATGAGAAATAGCAGAGGACAATCTGAAGGATCAAGACTGCTTTGATCTCAGAAGATAACTTGTAGCTTCTTGACTGCTGATAGGAAGTACAGGTCAGGAGAGGGAAAGTAGTTAAAAGTCTGTCAATCTACTATACTGTATCTTTACTGGTTTATCTAATGTTCTACTTTAGAAAACATCAGTTTTCTCTCTAGAAACTATTCTCTGGTTAGAGAGACATGGAGTAAACTGCTAAATGATCAAATTATAAGAATTGAGCCTGGCAAGGAGTAGGGGTTTATGGCCATTTAAGTCTCAAAAAGAACAACAAAGTATTTCAAAGCAAATCAAGAGTAGCCATGTCCTTTATTGAAAGAAGTAGCGCTTTCTTGGTGGAAAAGAACTTTTAGTGGATAAGAAGAAGCAGATGTCCTTAATTTTTCACTCTGAGCTCTTAATGCTGTGCTGCATAGTATTCTTTCTATATAAATTTTGGAAATAAGGTCTAGATTAAATTGCCACAAAGTCAGTGATCAACTTTTTGAAAAGACACTCTAGTAGCAAATGGTAGGTGATCAAGTAGGATATTTCAGAGACTGACTGTGGACTCAAGAAGAATATGCTTAACTCTGAAGTTGATGCTGACATGGGGACATTTGCAGCTACTGGGTTTGATTTTTTTAAATATATTTTAAATAGTCTTAGCAAATTTAGGGAATAAACACAAAATGCATGACTACAAATGGAAATCAAATATTAACAAAAAAGGGTCTAATTGGTGAATGGACACTTGAGGATTATCCACAAGCAGATTGATATCCACAAGCACTGTGATATGACAAAAAGGGGAAATCCTTTTTGGGATGTGGTAGAAGAAGAGTCATTGCATGAACCAGAAGTGACATTCTGTGATACCTAGTGGTGATGAGGGGTCATTTCACTGTCTGGCTTTTGACACCCTGGGTGGAAACTCGAGAGGAAGGCAGCAAAACAGAAGTCTAGAAAATGGGACCTGTAAGAATATCTGATACATACATGTGTTTGGCCTAAGAGAGAAGAGGAGCAAAAATCTTAAAATGCTCTAGTTTGGTTGCCTTTTTTTTTTTTTTCATATAACAGCAAAAGCAACTAGATTCATGAGGCTTATATAATGCAAAATCACTCAAGGTAATGTAGGGTTATTTGCTATAAAAG